GGGGTGGCCCTAGGGACGGGCACGAAGCTCTGAGGGGAGAGTGGGGGTGGGGGCGGCGACGACGACGGGGGTTTGCCCAGCTCCTCCTCAGAAAACTTTATTTTATGGGGAGGCGGTTAAGGAAACGAAGAAGCCCTGGTCGGGGGTGAGGGGGAAGGGGGACCCCCCTGATGTTGCTATGGGGAGAGCGGGAGGTGGTGGCCATGGGGCTGCCACGTGACTCTGAGGGGAGGTGGGAGGCCCTGGGTGGTGGGGGTTGGGATGTCATGGGACTGAAGTGAGGGGGCCCTGTTGGAAGAGGGGAGGTGGGAGGCTGAATGGGGAACCATGGGATGGTTGGGTGGGGGGGATAGGGTGAGTTATGGGGTTGTCAGGAGGAGGAGAATAATAATCTCCATAATAATAACAATATCTATAATAATAACTCTAACAGCAATAATAATAAGGACTACTATGGGGGGATTTCTGTGACATGTCATGTTTTTTCTGCAACCTTTGGTTGCATTTATAAGTGGGTCTGGACTTTTTTAGGAGTAATCAGGTGAGAAAGGCCAGATGGTGATAACACTTTTCAAATACCTAAAAGGCTGTCGTCCATAGGAAGGCCACAATCTGTTCTTGATCATCCCAGCGTGCAGGACATGCTATAATGGGCTCAAGCTATAAGAAGCCAGATTTTGGTTGAATGTCAGGAAAAACGTCCTAACAGAGCAGTACGGCAATGGAACCAATGATCTTTAGAAATGGCCTGGGCTCCAATACTGGAGACGTTCAAGAGAAATTTAGACAATCACCTGGCAGATATCGTTTGATTTGTATTCCTGCATCAAGCAGGGATTTGGACTTGATGGCCTTATAAGCCCCTTCCAACATTATTCTGTTACTCATATACATGTTTAAACTTACCGGTGGGATTAAATATAGGTTCCAGAGAAAGTGTGAAATGTCATAGAAATCTCGCCAGTAGTAGTAGTAGTAGTAGTAGTAGTAGTAGTAGTAAGTAGTAGTAGTAGTAGCAGCAGCAGCAGCAGCAGCAGCAGCATTGCATTGCATTGCATTAGCAGCATTGCATTGCATTGCATTGCATTGCATTGCATTGCATTGCAAGAATGGACCCTATGGATCATTGATTTCAGCCTCTAACAAGGAGGTCCAGTGTGAAATCAAACTCCCAACTCTACCTAAACCACTGAGCTATGGGAGCAGAGGAGCTGTACATGGAGATCACTATAGGAAAATATGTTGACATAGCAGGATTGGAGGCCATGGTGTGGGGGGAATTGGTTGCATAAGCGTTAGAGCATCTGTGTTTCCTTCCTCCACCACCATGAGATCTGTTGAATGCACCATTCTTCACCATTGGTAGAAGTGGTGGGCAAGTTGGCAGTTGCAGTTCAACAACTTTGGGAGGGCTGTAGATTGCTCAGGCTTGGTATAAGTAGCAGTGGTACTGAGGGATGACTGGAGTGCGTCTAGTGGAAATGGCAGCAGGTAAGGGGGTGTGTTTCTGTGAGTGTTTATTCAATCCTGTCATAGTGTTCAGATTGCTTTTCCACCCATGACTGTGATCAGCCTTATAAAGATGCTGTAAAGTAACACTTGTGATGCATGGTTACCATGCAACTGTAGGAGAAGGCAACTGGTCCTCCAGATGTTATGGGACTGGAGCACCCATCGTTCCTCACTGTTGGCTGACAGGAAGTGTAGACCAACACTGTATTGAGGAATATACTTGCTGACTTTTGTGGAATTGAGTATATGGAATTGAGGCTGAGAGATACCTGACTTGCTTAAAGGCCACTTGCAATTGTAAAATCATACATTTTTCCCCCGAAAATAAGACAGGGTCTTATATTAATTATTATATAAATAAAATTTATAAAAAACACATTAGGGCTTTTTTTCTGGGGATTTTTTTTCATGTAAAAACTATCTACATTTATTCAAATACAGTCATGTCATCTTCATCTGGTTGCTGCACAAGGGCGGAGGGCGGGGTTTCACTTAACTGGGGCTTATTTTGGGGGTAAGGCTTATATGATGAGCATCCTGCAAAATCATACTATGGCTTATTTTCAGGTTAGGTCTTATTTTCAGGGAAACAGGGTAGAGATGCTGACCTGGGGAGGTAGAGAACTGCACATCTTGTACCCTTCTATTATTTATTCCGTCAGTCTTTTTGCCCATTGTTCTTCTGTGTCTGCTGTGGCACAGAAGTCAGTGTGGGATAGTGGTGACAATGTCAAACCAAGACTTGAGGTCCTCTGTGGGTGACCTTGGGCCAGTCTATCTTCTCTCATGGGATTGTTGTTTTAAGACTGCAGTGGGGACAGACATGTGTACAGTATACCACCTTGAACACATTGGAGGCATGATAGAATATAAATGTAAACAACCATAACATCAACAATAATAAGGAGCTTTGTGGTGCAGTGGCTAAACTGTAGTATTGCAGTCAAAACTCTGCTCACTGTCAGTGTTTGATCTCAGCAGATTCTGGCAGCTGGCTTAAAGTTCACTCTGCCTTCCATCCTTCCAGGGTAAAATGAGTACTCAGTTTACTGGGGGTGGGCAGCAATGAGCAGTTTGTATAATTAAATTGCAAGCCTTCCAGAGAGTGCTATAAGCACTATGCGGCGGTATATAAGCAGCACACTCTAATAATAATAATGTACAAAACTGATATTTACTTTGCTTGTCATGAGAGCAGGAATGCTAGTTTATACAGTATCTGTTTTATACAGCTCCAGATTTCATTCGCTGCGTAAACAGCCTCCTGCCACTTTCTGTACTACTTGAGAACTGGAGCATGACAAGGTTTGCCCTGGACTTTGGAGATGAGAGATTGCTCCTTGTTAGATGTGAATTCTATGCCCCGCTTGGAGGAAGTTACACTGCTGCTGTCAATAATGGCAAGGGATAGAGTTGCCCTCTTGTGGTTGCCTGGAAATTAACATGTTTGAGACTTGTGGTAGTGGGGCTAATTGACAGGCTGGTCTTCCTCTTTTACTACACAGTGTTGGTCAGATGGCACTGAATAGGGTTCTTGCGAGAGAATACTTCACTTTAACTATTGGGGTAAACAAGTCATAGTATAGGTAACTCTCAAATACTAGATATGAAACATACAGAAACTTGAATGTGTCTGTTCGTGTGCGTGTATAATTCACTCTGCCTACAAGTCCTTAATTTTGATACCACTTTGGAGTTTCTGCAGCAACATCGTTGACTGTTTTAGGAGTGGCTCCTTCTTATAGGAATTTAGGCAAAGATTAGCTTAACAGCCTGCCATAATGCTGAGACACACATTTCAGGTTCCTGCAGCCACACAAAGTTGAAGAGGCAAGGTGTTACTGCTAGTGAACTGGTTGGAAAAATAATAGAAAGTCTTGCCAGGCTGTCTCTATTTACCAGAAATTATCATGGGTCACCACATGGTGGTATCTACACATAGGTCAAACAAGAATATTCCTGTTTTTGGAATTCTAGGCAATGTACATTTAAGTTGTGAGTATCTCTGGATAGCACATGTATCCAGCCAACTATATCCATGCCTCTGAGAAGAAGAGCAGCCTGTATAGCCTTGGGCAAGCTGCATAGTCTTAGAGAGCCACCAGAGGAGGGAAATGGTGAAGCACTTCTGAGTGTATTGTACCTAGGAAATCCTGACAAGGGTTGCTGTAAGCTGAAAATCAGCTTGACAGCACATTAAAAAAGCAGACCAGCAACAACAAAAAAATATTTATTTATTTATTTGTTTGATTTATATCCCGCCCATCTGGTCTGGTCGACCACTCTGGGTATGTTATTTTGATGATCCCGCTTCTGTCAGTTTGTAAGTATATGCTTTAATGTCTTCATCAGAGTTAAATTATATATTTTTAACTTTACTAGGGCAGCATTATATATTTCAGCTACAGTTCTGGGAGTGCTTAAGGACTGCCTTGTACTACAGTTAACATTTGGACATCTAGGCAGTGATATAATATAGTAATTCACTACTGCGCCTTTGAAATATCTACTGAATGAACATAAGTCTGTACCTGTAAAAAAAAGACCCAACAACAAACTGTACTGTAGCTTTTCCCATTAATTTTTTTTCCAGACGGCCGGACAGATCCTATTTTGGAGGATGTAGGTGAAGCCTTTAAGCTCATGGGGGTCAACCTGCATGAACTAGAAGATTACATACTCAATATTGAGCCAGTCACTTTTGCACATCAAATCCCTTCATTTCCCATCAGCAAGAATAACGTCTTACAGTTTCCCCAGCCTGGAAGCAAAGATGCGGAAGACAGGAAAGAGTATATTCCTGATTATTTGCCACCCATTGTCTCCTCTCAAGAAGGTAAGAAATCAGTCACTTCTCTACTTTGTTTTTTATCTGTTTGGTTTTGAGCAATAACGCTGGCATTCATTCCAAACAAAGCTGCCTGTGCTGCCAGGTTTGTGCATTGTTAAGCTATCACTCAAGAATATATCACTTGCTGTGGGGTTTCTCAGGGGTTTGTAAGAGAGGAACTGAGTATTAAAATGCACTTCTCTCTTCAGCAACGCTAGATTTAGGGGTGGCGGACCCTTGTGTAATTCAAAATCCATGTAAAACTTTTATGCCCCCCCATACATAACTGCAGAGCATAAACAGTTGACAGAGAGAGAGAGAGAGAGAGAGATCTTTATTGGGGTTCTCTTCCATAGCATTGACAATCCTTTCCATACAGTATCATGTGTAATGAGCCTTAAAGGTCCTTATGACCAACATTCCCTATAGTTTCCTACCCAGCTGTGTAGGAGCTTTGCCCTGTTTGGATGGGGTGGGGGTTCATTCAGAAGCAGAAGTAAGCAAACTGGCTGCTGGTGAGCAAGCTCTCACCTTCGAGGGAATGTTGCTTATGACTCTTTGATCTAGAAGCTGAAATACAGATGTTGTGTTTGGGGGCAAGTAGACCATGTTCACATCTTCAGTGTTGAACATATAGTATTTTGGGTGGCCCAGGGTCACAGTATTTATTGAATATTTATTGGAATATTTATATTTATTTATTGGAATAAATCTCTGTACCCAAAACCATACTGATAAGTGCTGTGCAATTCAAGGGAGAAGTGTTCTATGTAAATGACACACAGGGTAGTTTTACATTCTGGTTGACCAAGATAGTGCTACGGTTGTTAGTGCTGTTATAATAGTGTATTAATCAAAAGACTGCCAGGTTGGAAATGAACCTGGGTCAAATTCTTGCTTAGCCTTGAGCATACTCCTTGATTTGGGGTAAATAACGTTATTTGTTGCATTTTGTTATCTGCTTCTTACTTACAAAATGAGTTGAGCTTGAGAAGATTTGTGACTAATCTTATGAGGTAAGAATGCCGCGGTGCTAAAGTTGTCTCTGTACCAGAGGTCGTCAACCCCCAGTCCACAGGCTGGTGCTGGTCTGTGGCCTGAGCTGGACTGGGCCGTGGAGACAGACCTCCTGCCCCCCCATGCACTCCCCTCCCCACAGCGGCTTTGTGCACACATGCAAACACCGACATGAGCGCTCCCTCACCCTGTCATGCATGCGCCCGAGCGAAGGTGTGGGCGTGCAGGTGCCCCTTGTCATCCCATTTAGGATGCTGGTCTACTATATCTGGCAGTGTGGAAAACTTTATTACATTTCAGAATTAGAGTGAGGAGGATCTCCTCAGCACTAGGCCAGTAAAAGGTGCTGCAGGCTCGTAACGTCTTAAGATTTACTCAGAATGCACATAAGTCCGCTGTGCCTCAGAATGGATTTGTACAGATACCCAGCAAGAGGTCATATTTCTAATGTTTGCAAACAATACATGCAGGAAGGACATTTTATTTGGTGTGGGTTTTTTCCTAGGCTTGTGGCCTCTTTAGACTTGCAAGGGCGTGTTTGCTCAGACCTTTGTTATCCCTGACCACATTGTCTAAAATCCAGGGGCAGGGTTTTAGCTTTAAATAAGTGCTACCAGAAGCGTGCACCTAACGGCACATGAAATTCTCTGATTTTATTTTTTAGACTCTAGCTTGGTAAATAGGAAACATAAATAGGAGTGCATACATCTGGGGTAGCAGGGAGGTTTTAGGGGGAAGATCAGACTTCCTCTCTTTTTAATTCACTTACCAGATGAATTACATCCAAGGATATTAAAAGAACTGGCAGGAATAATATCAGAACCATTGGCAATAATCTTTGAGAGTTCTTGGATAATAGGGGAAGTCCCCACAGATTGGCAATAATCTTGGCAATAATCTTTGAGAGTTCTTGGATAATAGGGGAAGTCCCCACAGATTGGAAGAGGGCAAATGTTGTCCCTATCTTCAAAAGGGGGGGCGGAGAGGAAGCCCAAATAACATCAATTCCTGGAAGGATTCTAGAGAGGATCATTAAGCCATTAAGCAGATAGTTTGTAATTACTTATAAAGCAATGCTGTCATTATTAGAAGTCAACACGGCTTTCTCAAAAACAAGTTATGTGTGGGAATCCCCACAGTTATGCCAGACTAATTTGATCTCTTTTTTAAATAGAGGTATAGGCCTGGCGGATGAAGAGAACGCTGTGGATGTAGCATATCTTGATTTCAGTAAGGCCTTCGACAAGCTTCCTCACGATATTCTTGCACAGAAGTTAGTAGAATGTGGGATAGATAGTGCTACTGTTAGGTCGATTTGTAATTGGTTGACTGACTAAACCCAAAGGGTGATCACAAACGGCTCCCCTTCGTCCTGGAAAGAGGTGACTAGTGGGGTGCCCCAGGGTTCTCTTCTGGGTCCCATGTTATTCAACATCTTTATCAGTGACTTGGATGAAGGAATAAAGAGTATGTTGATTAAATTTGCAGATGATACCAAATTGGCAGGGGTTGCTAATTCCCTAGAGGACAGGATGAAAATTCAAAATTATCTTGACAGATTAGAGTCCTGGGCCAAAACTAACAAAATGAATTTCAATAGGGAGAAAGGTAAGGTCCTACGGCTAGGCAGAAAAAAATGAACTGCACAGATATAGAATGAAAGACACCTGGCTAGACAACAGTACCTGTGAAAGGGATCTAGGAGCCTTGGTAGACCACAAGCTGAACATGAGTCAGCAGTGTGATGCGGCTGCCAAGAAAGCCAATGCGATTCCGGTTGTATCGATAGGAGGATAGTGTATAGAATCAAGGGAAGTGATAGTACTACTCTATTTTGCTTTGGTCAGACCTCACCTGGAGTATTGTGTCCAGTTCTGGGCACCTCAGTTCAAAAAGGATGTTGACAACCTGGAACGTGTCCAGAGGAGGACGACCAAAATGGTCCGAAGTCTGGAAGCAATGTCCTGTGAGGGGTGGCTTAGGGAGTTGGGAATGTTTAGCCTTATAAAAGGAAGGTTGAGAGGGGACATGATAGCCATGTTTAAATATTTGAAAGGATGTCATGTTGAAGAGGGGACAGGTTTGTTTTCCAGGGCTCCTGAGAATAGGACACAGAGCAATGGTTTCAAACTACAGGAAAAGAGATTCCATCTGAACATTAGGAGGAACCTCCAGGCGGTCAGAGCTGTCCGGCAGTGGAAGAGGCTGCCTTGAAGGGAGTCTCCTTTTTTGGAGGCTTTTAAGCACAGACTGGATGGCCATCTGTCGGGAGTACTTTGATGGATGTTCCCGCATGGCGGGGGGTGGACTGGATGGCCTCAATGATCTCTTTCAACTCTATGACTTTGGGTTCTGAAAATACCGATTTAATCTCAAAACAATTATTTTATCCTTCAGTACAGCGTGTGGAATTGCCAGTTTTTTTAAAAAATCTGAGATTGAAGGAGAAACAAGTTTTTAGGGTTCATGTTTACTTATTTGTCAAAAGTGAAAGTGTAGAATTGTGGTTTGTGAAACAGATCTAACTTGTAACTTCAACTGAGCAGTCAGATCTGGGGTGGTCAATCTTTCTGGGCCTTACTCATTTTACAGGTTTTGTGAGAGAGGAGAGTGGGTAAAGGACAGCCATGTACTGTGCCTTGGTAACATTAGAAGAAAACTGGCATCTTCATGCAACTAATAAAAATGTTCTGAGTTCAGAGAATTTTCTGATTTTATATATAGGCTGTCATCCTCCCCTCCAGCATCTGAAATCATAAGGAGAAAGCTTTCAGCTCTTGTGTTCTCCTGAGCTATGCAGTCAGCTATTGAGCATTGGAACTGGTAAATCTAGTGCTGTTAAGGTGCCATGGAATGAAAAATAGTTAGCTAGTTACTGTAGAGGTGAACAAAAGTGAACATCTGTACCTTTCTAGGGACACAGATCATTTTAAACTTTCAAGAACTGGCTGCAGTAGTATTGGTGACTAGGGTGTGCTTTTACATCTGTTTCTTAAGGTGCTACAACATTTCTTAAGGTGCCATAACTTTCTTAAGATGCTATAAAATATTTATCCTATAGATACACGGAGTGCGTCCGAATAAGGCATAGCTGAAGCAAACAGTTTGGTATCAATAATGGCCCAATTTAGACATATCACATTGTAGCTGAGAGGCCAAAAGTACTGTATTTTTCCGTGTATAAGACAGTATCAATAATGGCCCAATTTAGACATCATATCACATTGTAGCTGAGAAGCCATAAGTACTGTATTTTTCCGTGTATAAGACTATACTTTTGTCTAAAATCTTTAGACTAAAAATTGAGGGTCGTCTTATACACGGAAGTAAGCTGAGGATAGAACAAAAACAAGTGGAGGGGAAAGCAGAGATCAAAGCGATCCTGCAGCGCTTTGATCCCTTTTCCCCTACACTTGCTAAGCCCCAGTTAGATTTCTTAATTTTGGATTAGAAAAGTGGGAGGCGTCTTATGCATGGGGGCGTCGTATAAACAGAAAAATATGGTAGTTTGGGGTTGTGTTTCACTTGTAACATGCTTTGCAATTAAACCTCTGATCAGCATTGGAGTCTGTAGGTTGAAATAGATTTTTATGAGTTTTTATACCATCGTATATAAAAAGTGTGCTGCTTATATAAATCAACAAACTATAGTTACAGTTACTGTTCTGTCTCTGAATGCCTGTGCACCATATGAAAATAAATGTACACTTTTCTGCCTAAATTCAACCTTTTTCTTCTGAACCATCAAAAACGATCTGATTGAAGCCAGGATGAATTTAATTTAAATTAAATTGATGTAAATCAAATCCACCCTGGTTTCAATCAGATCAGAATGATTTAAATAAAAAAATTGATTTTTGATGATTTAAATAAAACCAAATCCACCCTGGTTTCAATCAGATCAAAATGATTTAAATAAAAAAATGATTTTTGATGATTTAAATAAAAATATTTTAACATTGAAATTGTGATTAAAATCACAGTTAAAA